CAAATGCAAATTACTACAGTATGTACACGCGCTTCGACTCTACAGTCACGCCGTGAAGTGCATCTATGCCGCAGGGCTAGCAACCGAAGTTGTGAGCGGGCCGCTCTCAATGTACGTTCCCGAGAAGAACCAGTCTTCGGCACCCGTTCCATCGTTACCCTGGCGGGGCAGACGAAGAACACCAAGATGCCAGTCGGCGCCGTTGGAAGAAGTGCTGGTGGAGAAAGGTCCAGCAGTCTTGGTGAGCGTGCTGTTGCCGGTGGAGTGCCAGAAGGTGACTTGGTTCTAGGGGTTGACATTAAAAGTCAGTATGTGCTCAAGGTCACTTTATAAATGATTGCGACTTACGGAGGAGAAGTTGATCTCGTAAGCGACGTTATGCCACTCGTCGGCCTTGAGCTCGACCTTCCACTTGCTTTGGCCACCCACCATCCATTGCCTGTGTTGGAATTAGTATCAAACCCAATATGAGTCAATACATTTAGATCATCTTACAAGTTGGTGTTGCTAGTGCCAGATTCTCCGTTGACCCATCCATATTTCAGTTCCGTGAAATGGCTCTCGAAGAAACAAATCTGGTGTTCGTTCGTCGCACTTGGGACGTTGGTTGTAGACCTCTTGATCGAGAAATGGTAGTAGACTGTGCCTTGGTTGATAGCAGCCTTCGTCTGAGGGATGAGCTCTGTCCTCCACATGTCGCTGTTCCACTTGGCCGTGTTATCGATCGTGATCTTAGCACCTTGCTTGCTGCCAGTGTCGCCAGAGTTCTTGTAGTTCGGTGACAGATTTACGTATTTGGTGGTCGCGCCTGAGCCGTGGATGTAGTACTGGTAGTCTGGCAGAGAAAGAGGCGAACGTCAGCTGTGTTCGCTGTGTAGCTTGACTGCAGCACTTACTGCCCACTTGGTTTGCCCACGACCATTTGTCCAGATCAGAGGAAGTGGTCATGTCGTTGAAGCGACCATCCCACAGGATTGTGCCTATCTCTAGTCAATAACATGTAACATGCGATGTGTGGGCGGACGAACCTGCGGACACGGCGCTCACGAGCGCGTTGATGATAGCTGTCTTTCCGAACATGTTGACGACTGAAAATGAAAAGATCCTTGTTTGGAGAGACTGTGACAACTGGCAGTTGAGATACCGACAGCTGAGCTATTCATGACGCTACTTAAAGACCGCCTCAAGCCAATGCTCAAAGTATCTCGACCCGAATCTGGAGGCGAGGCGTCCATTTCGTGCTTAGAGCGCTGCACATCAATATCGGGGAAAAGGCACATGTCCGGCATTCTACATTGAGTATGTGCTCAATGTGCGCTGCGTGACCACTGTTCTCAATCAATCTATATGTTTTCGCCGCCTTTTCACATATAGTTGTGGACCTAGTAACGGCCAAACGGTCCGGGACACATTGCGCCTTGTCTCAGCCAGACGCGGAGATGGCGACCCGGTTTTCGTCACCGCGTCCGCGGCACATGGTTCGATGCCGGCGAGTTAAGTCCATACAGGTACGAGATGATGGCGGGCTTGCAAATGGAGGAAGGCCGATCTGGCAGGGTGTCGAGATTAAGCTACATTAAGCCGAGGCCTACCCCACAACTAGTGCGAGCTAGAAAGCTTCGAATGGCGAGTCTGTCAGCAATTTCGCATGGTGACATGAACTCAAGCTGTCGCTAGGTGCAACTGTTTCTTGAGATATGTGAATGGATGCCTTTGGCATGACATTGGTTGCGGCGCGGGCGCACTTGCCGTGCCGCATCTTCCAAGATCTACCAAGGGGACCGAGAAGAAGAACGCCAACGCCTCGATGCCGCAAGGAGAACCGCAGCAGCTGCGACCCAGGTGTTAGCGGAGATGCGGCTTCCCGCTTGGGGAGAGGACGCTAAGGAAGTGGCGTTGTCTTTTCGAAGTTGATTTTCCGAGCTGCGCCTATGAGGGCTGGATGGAACGCGAGTCATGTCACCAGCCGTGGGCAATTCGAGGGACCGAGCAACATTTATCGCTGGAGAATCAATGAGACTTTACCTGGCGTTTGAAAAGCATTTCAGAGTTGTTTGCAGCGCGAAGGGCTCCCTTTCATACCTAGGTAGTATCCATCGCTGCTGGTACTAGCCGCTCTGGGATTAGTGTCTGTTGGCCTCATGCCGTCGTGCACACGGTGGCCTCTTACACCCCACATGGAGTGAGGCACATCAAAACTGCGCTACGATGGATGTCGTTCCGAATCGCGCCATGAGGTTCCGCCCTTGCTGTCTCACATTGACTGTTGATCATGAATGTCGAAAGATGCATCGCGCTACACAACGAGATTTTGCGGCACGGCTGGGTCGGCTCAGGTCGCAGTCTCGAGTCTCTCGAAGCCACTTGCAAGCCATGGTTCGAAACCTTTGGTGATGATGCCGAGGCTGTTCGTTCCCAGCTTTCACCTGATCTTGTTCGGTTTCTCCAAGAAGCTCGAGTTATTGGTTATTCTGAAAGTGTAGTCGATCTATCCTTCTTCTACTGGCTACAAAATCTCGCTTCGCCAAACTTCATGTTTGAGCAAGCGGAAGATTGGTCAGACGATGGAGAAGATGGCAATCTTTTGGTTCTCTACGAGATGAACAACTTCTCGGGTCACTGGTGCGGACTGGTGTAAGTTAAATCAGACAGCCGCATACTGTCTTGGTCCGGAATGTGCTAATCTTGTCGTACAGATATGATCAAGAAGCGAACCTCTGTATCTTGAGCCCAAGCATCCATGACGCAGATGAGGTCTTTGAACAGAAAGTGTGGTACCCATTGGAAACCGCTCTGGAGTTCTGGCTGGGCCAGATTCGGAAAGGGAAGATCGTTGCTGCGCCCAAAGCTATACACGAAAAATCTGGCAATGAGCGCTACGACCCTTGGGAGTTTATCCCGTACAGCAAATCCATGCTGGAAGAGAATGTGGAGGCTTTCAATCGTCTAGTAGAAACTATCGAAACTCGGATGCCTTCCACGGCCGAGCACGCAGAAGCTGAACAAGTTGTACATGGGCTGGTCGAAGAGAGCATACTTCAAAGCATGAGTCTTCCCCATAACTTCACCTACGATTTCCTCCGACAGGCACGACGCCCACGCTTCCGAAACATAGCCCCAGGTCTCGAAGTAACTACCTCCATATTCTCCGATCAGCCATTCGGTTCTTATCTCTCGTCTACCTCCGACCGGCCTCCTATCCTCCTATTTCGCTTCAATCCCAACACTGTCACTGGCGAAGAAATAGACAATCCATTCCCTGGATTCGACCGTATGAAAACCCATACTGCGGGCCTATACCTTCTCCCACATTGGGAGACGACAGCCGAGGACGAATGTAGGTTAATTTTACCTTTTGGTATTGGAGCAAATGGTTATGCAAGGAGGACTGATGGCAGCAAGTTTGGAAGAAAAAAGGGTGGTGAAGACAGCCATGTAGATTTGTATCGTCCTGGATATCAGCCGCTTGAGGAGCAGCATGATCATAGTCTTGTCGATGTGTTGAAGAGCTGGACGGGTATGGTGGAGAGAGGCGATTGGCAAATTGATGAGAATGGAGTTGCAGGTGGAATGGATGTATGGAGAGAGGCGGATAGCAAGGAGAAATGGGCCGCGTATGTGATTCCGAGGGCTGTACAGGGGGTAGAGAGGTAGATAGCTATGGTGAAGTATGAGAGCTTTTAGAGGTAGAGCAACTAAAGCAACACGAAGCTACAATCGCGCCCCGGAACTTTTCACCCTTCAAGCCTCAAGTAATAAACGCCTACGTGATAGCAAGCTGTAGAGGGAAACGGAGGTTTATACTATTCGGAAAAGCCTCATTGGTTACCTATTTCTACTGGAAAAGGCTCTCGAGGTGGCGTCGCACCATTCTCAATTCTTATTCTTCGTTCTCTACTCGATATCCCGGACCTTCCCGGCAACCAGGATTCCACCATGCATCTTCCCAAAGATCTATAGCATGCTGCCAGATGATCTCGAGACGCTGTCCCTGAGACCATGCGCTCTTGCTAATGTCATCCAAATAGCCCCTGTCGAATTTAACCTGAGACGCCTTACAAACTCTCGGACCTCGCAAGATCTCGGTGTCTTGTCCATCTTGTGCAGGCTTCGGACGCCCAAGCTTAATCTTGAAGCTGTTGTACTTGAAGTCCAAGCCCGCAGTCTCCGAGTAAAGTTGTCTGTTCACATACTTGAGCATGTTGAACTCAACGTAGCGCTTGACAGGAGACGGTGTTCCGAGTGCACCGAGATTTTCCGAGTGCCGCACAACCTGCCGGGGTGCTTCCGGCGAGTGAAGGTAGAGCGGACTTGGTGAAGTGAGCACAAGCTCGTATATTTCTGGAATAGCATAGTTAGCGCATGACCAGTGCACCATTCAACGTCGACGTTGGAACGAAAAATCACTCCAGAGCTCTGACTTACTGTTTCGCAGTTCACCGGGGAGTTTGAGCAGGGGCGATTCCGTGGACATGTTGTTAAATTCGTCTGCTTGTCTGCTTGTACCGTACTTGGGCTGGGTAAATTAGAGTAACGTCTTCGTGTCGAAGTCAAGTATCAGGCGCAGACTTTTTTAGAGAATGGGTGGGTTTAGATTCTGCTTGGAGAGGAGAGGAGCATTCAGGGGGTGGAAGTGGGATGCTTTAAAGGGATGAGCCACTAGAGACTCTAGGTAAAAAAGGTCACTGCATTCAACTCATTCACGATACTATCAAGTGAGTACTCTTTCGTAAATTGAAAAGCTCTAGATCGCGCTTTGCCTCTGTTGAAGTGGTTAGCCTCACGTTGACAACACTGTTGGGTCGGATCGTATCGATCGTGAGTTTCACTCACGAGCGTTCACTATTTGTAACCCTCTACTACATATACAAGGGCTTCCTCCCTTCTACATAACAACCACATCACAACTCTTCTTGATCTACAAATACTCACGAATCCACCAATCACTCAACCCCTACCAACGTAATCTGCTCCCCAAATCTTCTACCAACACAGAAAGCATGCCAATTAGGTCGAACATGTTTTCAGATTTCATCTGGTCGTTTATGTCGAAACCGGAAGCTGTAAAACCAGCGACCAAGAGCCGCCTCTTCCTTCTTCCTCCCGAGCTCCGGAACGTTATCTACGAATACGTCCTAACCACACCAGACGCAACGCTAAAGTACACGACAAACGACACCTCCGGCCACAAACAGCTCAATCAGCTACAGTATGTCAATAAACAGCTACACCAGGAGTGCGCACACCTTGAGTTGAAGTTCAATACTACCATCACGATCTCTACCCGGGCCGAAGGCAAGACCACTGCCACCGAACAATTCTTTGCGCTTCTCGCATCTCTTCCAGAAGAGAAACACAAATGGCTCCGAACTGTGGCTCTGCAAAATACCGACGCTGATGTGAACGAGTACTTGACGCAAAGGAATAATCCAGGCAAAACGGCCCTCACACAGATCGACAACCAAGCCAACATGTGTCGACTAGCGAAACTGTGCAGACAGATGCCATATATTACCGTGGAATTCAAATGGTCAATGTTCAGCGCCAAAGTGCTGAAGACAGCCTCTAATGGACCTGTCGTTCCTCTCATGGTAATCGCACTTGGGGTTGCCTTATCAGAGCTTCTCTTAGGTGACTCAAGGACCGAACTCTGGCCTATGGAACCGAACGCCAGACCAGTCATAGAAAAAGGGTTGGAGATCGTAAGAGGGTGGAACGTATTTGATATAAAGGGCGAGACGTCGCAACCATTACATGAGAGTTTACGGGCGGATAATTTGCACTTCTTCCCCATGGAAGATATCCTAGAATCGGAGGAAGTCCCCGTACGCACAGGAGCTCACTTCAACAATAAAGGGGAAGATCTTTCGCCGATATGGACAGCGACGATTAGGAAGTGGGTGGCGGAGGGTCTATAAGGGAACTTTCCCCCAGATCATGTCTACTTTGTAGACGAGCTAACCCGCGAGAAGACGCAGATCAATGAGCAGCTACGTGCATTCATATACCTCATCCATATAATTCGCATCGGTGATGCTGTCCTTTGAAGGTGACGACTGTAAACTCGCGATAGGCGTGCCTTAATAGCTGTTGATGTAGCCTCCGCAGGGCCTTATTCTTGTGGTAAAGTTCGACTTCTTCACACGCGTAGGAGGTTAGGCGACTGGTTTGTGATTCGTCGTTCGCAGTTCTCCTTTGTTTCATCAGCAGCTGTGATGTTTGTCGTGTGCAAGTGGATGAAAGAGGTGAATGAGATGAAAGCAGCCGCGGCTAGCGCACGGGCCCGCAGTTGCCTCGGTGACATCACAAACAAGCTGCGCAGACTTTCCCAAGTCTGCCTATCGCCCATCACAGCGACCACACGAGCCAACCTACGCCTGTCTCACGTCCGCCCTACAACTGTCTCAGTCGCCGGCCCCGCTCAACCGTAAACTTAATTCCGTGACAAAAAAGGACCCCAGCACATCGACATGGCTGACGCGCGCGGAGAGTACTGGTACTATGAAGATGGCGTTGACCCCAGCAAGATAACAGTCCCGGAACTGAGGAGCATCTTGCTGCGACATGGCGTCACGTATCCGTCCTCGGCAAAGAAGCCCGCTCTGGTTGGCATGTTCGTCGACCTGGTCCTCCCTCAGAAGTCCAAAGTCCAGCGGATGCAGGCACACACGAAGCGATCGACGCGGGGCATCGTAGACGTCCCCTCCAGTTCAGCCAGTACGGTCGAGACAGACGACGCCGAGGACGAAACCCTTATTGCGCCTACGCCTGCGAAGACACGACGCACAACCCGACGAACAACGCGCGAGCCAACAGAGGAGGCAGAGGTGCCGGCACCACGCGCCAAGACACCCGCGCGCGCTGTCCCTGCCAAACACAGCAGAGCGCTTGAGCCCGAGGTGGACGAGCGGCCTGCGGCTAGACGCACACGCAAGAGCGTCACTCCTGCACCCAAAGAGCCCACGCCTGAGCCTGAAGCATGGCATCGCAACGACGCTGCCAGCCCCTTCACCCAGGAAAACCCGTTCCAAAGCGGAAGCTCTCCTGCAGTACCAGATACCATATCGCGCGACCGGCGTAGGAGAACTACTGGATTTGGTCAGCAGGAGCGGCGCAAGAGCGATGCGCACCGCCGGAGGACCGTCCAACCCAAGGCTGAACAACTAGACGAGGGCATCATGGTACCTACACGTGGAACGTTTGATGTGGCGGACCCACGTACACAGCATCAGGAAGACGATCTTGCAGATGCCGGCGAGGAGTTCACTCCAGAAGAGCAACTTGAACTAGTGCGCGAGCGTGCAAAGGCTGGCGAGGTCGACATTCTGCCTCCACGCAGACGGAGGCAAAAGGGCAAAGCCACTGGTACGATCAAAGCAATGGCCGGAACTCTACTCCTCACAGCATCAGCCGCTTTCGCTGGCGTCTGGCGTCAGGAAAAGATCGATGTTGGCTTTTGTGGCATCGGACGAGATGCTACTGGACTTGGTGGTATGGAGCTACCGAGCTGGGCAGATCAGCTCCTCCCGCAGTGTGAGCCCTGCCCACCACACGCGCAGTGTTTCCGCGGGTTGACTCTGAGGTGCGATCCCGATTTCATCATGAAGGACCATCCGCTGTCACTCGGTGGCCTGGTTCCTCTCCCTCCGACGTGTGAGCCAGACAGCGAGAAGACGCGGAAGGTGAACGGTATCGCGAACAAGGCAGTGGAGATTCTGCGACAACGAAAGGCCCAGTATGAGTGTGGGGAACCAGATGCGGCAGGGAATCCAGTGGAAAGCCCTGAAGTTAGCGAAGGAGATCTGAAGCAGCAGATGGCTTCTCAAAAGAGCAAGAGCTTGACAGACCAGGAGTTCAGTGAGCTGTTCGACAGAGCCTTTCCTGAATTGACTATGCGAGAGGAGATAGTCGAAAGCACCGATGGGTAAGTACTTCCTTTCCAGTTCTCCAACCACTTGTGCAACATATCTGACGTGGAATTGTACTAATCAGTTACTCTTCCTTGGAAACAGAACAACAGGCGGACGACGTCTCGCATCCACCTCCCTCGCCAAGCTCTCCCTCTCCTGCAGCGTCCGAAGATCCCTCCGAGAATCTTTTGAACGACATCTTCTCCAAATTGTAACGATGCTCATTCTGATTGCCACTGGATCGTACGGAAAGTACGCATACACCAGTAACCGAGCAATGGAAGTTCGCGCGAAGCAACTCGCAAGCGACGCATACGATAGACTCCAGGACCAGGCCGCGTTGAGCTACTATGACCCTGGCGCGGAGAAGGGTATCAGTATGACACAACTGCGAGATGACGTCTTGAGGACTGAGTTCAACGCATCTCGCCGACAGAAGCTATGGACAAGGGTGCAGGCGAAGGTCGAAAAGAACAGCAACATCCGTGCAGGTGTCCGAGCCACAGCGAGCGGTGACGTTGCTCGCATGTGGGAATGGGTCGGCCCTGTGAAGCGCATCGACGACGGACGGAGCCCTGAGAAACGCGAGAGTGGCAGGTTCAGTCTCGGCATGGGTAGCAGCCCACTGTCCGCATCCAAGGATACGAAGGAGGTCCAGAAGTGGGAGGAGGGACATCCGATTTACTAGTCGTTACGCTCGCAGCTTTCATTTGTTTCCCATCGCGGGTTTATGGGTCAAGGATGATATATGATTAGGGGTCTGCACTTTATTTGGCACGCATGATACCACAATTCAATTCTTACTTCGACTGCACTTCATCGTTTCAACACACTCAATGACTAGTGAATATGTTTGGGGATGGTCTGGTGCGTGCCCTCGACATCTTGGCTGTGGCTGGTGAGTGGCGCAGGTCTCGGCTTACTAACCTAGCCGAAGCCCACACAACGCTAGCAATATCGGCCCAGCGCGACCACAACACCTCCAGCAACACCGCCAACTTTTCGCTCATACTAACCACAGAGCAAAATCCGTCAAAATGGTGAGTGAAATTCTTGCTGCCAGAGACATTGCGAAGGACCACGACCGGTGCGACGAGCGAACGAATCCACGAATCTTCGATGACGATGGCGAGGCGAATTCTCCTACCCCGCGACATTCGACACGATGATACCCCATTAGAAGACCGAGATGTGGCGGAAGACACTTGATGCTGAGAGGGTTGGGATTGTACAACGTCTCTTACAGAGGGCTGCTGGTGCGAAGGGACATGTGAGGACCTTGGCGTTGAAGAGGCGGCGACTCAACACGTACTCCATCACGGGCCCTTGGTATCGCGCCGCATCTGAACCCAGCTGTCGGGCGCAGTGTAGATGCTGGCATTTGATGGTGGCAACATCTCACCAGGATGATCTCAATCGCGACCTCCGCATCACCGCACATCCCTCGCCATCGCTTACGTCGGTCGCTCGCTTCGCATTCGTCGCCAGTACAGGAAATTGGGAATTTCAAAAGCATTGAGCCTGAATGCTGACTGTGACTTCCCAGGTCAACGTTCCCAAGACCCGCCGAACCTACTGCAAGGGCAAGAAGTGCATGAAGCACACCCAGCACAAGGTCACCCGTTAGTGATCCGCGTCCACACACTCGCATACCCGTATACTGAGACTGTGTAGAATACAAGGCAGGAAAGGCCTCTCTGTTCGCGCAGGGTAAGCGTCGTTATGACCGCAAGCAATCCGGTTACGGAGGTCAGACCAAGCCCGTCTTCCACAAGGTACGATCGCACGCATTCGAGCTCAAAAGATGAGTACTAACACCATGCAGAAAGCGAAGACCACCAAGAAGGTCGTTCTCCGTCTAGAGTGCACACAGTGCAAGACCAAGGCACAGGTAGGCTCCGCTCACATTCTTCCACCTCGCAATCGCTAACATACTCGTAGCTCGCCCTCAAGCGATGCAAGCACTTCGAGCTCGGTGGTGACAAGAAGACCAAGGGTGCCGCTCTCGTCTTCTAAGCGTGTACCTTCTTTCTCTCTCTTTTGCTGGGCTCTCGGCGTAGTCTTCGGGCGGATGGAATGGACGGCTCTACCTTCGACTCAAGCAATGCATCAATCATCAGTGCGATAAGAATGAAGGCGTGTGAGGCGGAAGATCTGGCGACAAAAGGTCACCAGCCACGAATTTACGGACTGTAACCTACATATGCATCAAATGGAGCTCGATTGAAGGGACCGCAAAACAATTCCACTTAACGCAGGTAGTGACAGCATGATCGGTGCCAAGTGATGACTTCTGGATGCAGCAGGTACAGCCGCGCGGACCGTTACTGACGGAGCCATTCCTAAGTAGTGGCTACCCCTCCACCCCACTAACGCGTCGCGTCCTATCTTGTCGATTGGGTCAGACGCTACTTCTCATGTGAGTCTCCATCATCCTCTGGATTCCCCTCACACAATGGCTGATACTAAGAAAAGTGTCCTCATTATTGGCGGCGGCGCAGTCGGTGCCATTGCAGCCGTCAACCTCGAATTCGGCGGTCTCGCAACGGTGACCGTGGTGCTGCGATCTAACTACAACGTCGTCAAAGACAAAGGATACACAATCGAGAGCTGCGATCATGGAAAATTGGACGAATGGAGACCTAGCGTTGGTACGTTGTAAACCTTATGAGCGATTCACCTGCCGATCCGCACCCAAAAAGCTAACACACCCAAGTCCGCAACACCATCCCCAACCTTACCGAAGAAGACCTCCCACCATACGACTACGTCGTCCTCTGTACCAAAAACATCCCCGACGTCTCCCCCACCGCCGTCGACCTAATCACGCCAGCCCTGCCCAAAAACAGCAACAAAACCACTCTGATCCTCCTGCAAAATGGCCTCAACATCGAAAAGCCCTTCTTGCGCCCGCATCCCAACATCCCCATTCTCTCCGCTGTCTCCATGATCGGCAGCGCAGAACCCTCACCGGGCCACATCGTCCAAGACGAAGGCGATAAGCTGCTTATCGGCGCTTTTCCCACTTCCAACATTAATCCCGCTGTGCCGGAGCGTCGGGCGGAGGAGTTCGTGGAGTTGTATGGGAAAGGTGGGAAGACCGATTGTCAGTACTCGCCTAATGTTTTGCACGATAGGTGGAAGAAGCTGGTGTTCAATGCTTGTTTGAACCCCATCTGCGCGATTACGGGACTGGATGACGGACGGCTGAGACTTGCTGATGGGGCGTTGGATGGCCTTGTTAGACCGGCTATGCGGGAGATTGTTGCGGCTGCGAAGGCGGTTTGTGGTGTGGAGTTGGCGGAGGATGTGGTTGAGGCGACTATTCATGTTGATCCGCTGGAGAGCTATTTGAAGCCGAGTATGCAGCAGGATGTGGAGAAGGTGAGTTGAGCTCCTGGTTCTATTGCTTTACGTGAAAAGAGCGAGGTGCTAATGCGGACAGGGCAACTTCATCGAGTTTGAGAATCTGCTGGGTGAGCCGTTGAGAGCGGGTAAGGAGGCTGGGGTTGCTATGCCGACGTTGGAGGTGCTATATCAGCTTGCGAAGGCGATTCAGTGGCGGATGAAGGAAACTAGGGGACTTATTGAAGTGCCGAAGAAGAAATAGCACGGTTAAGCTGACATGTTGACTCTTGGTCTTGTACATGGTATTATCAGCTCCACATGTACTGTATCAAGTACGGATTGGTAGAGTACTAGAGATTATGACAAGAACTTGGAATGACCATTGAAGATGTGTAGTATTTCTTCGAAGCTTTTCAGCCTGTTGCTAGCATGCTGTCTAAGACAAAGAGAAAGCTCCAATGAACCTCGCCTGAACAACCACCAGTACCATGACCGTTTCTTGATGCGGACACCGAGGCCAGGCATCGTCATCGGGGTATCTGGCCCATCAGAAGGCCACCTCATACCAGAAAAAGACTGAACAGGCCTAGAGCCTACATCGACGCCAGGTCACCTATCTTGTAAGTTTTCATGTTGATCTAGGCTGCAGACCCATTCGGTCTTTTTCTTGATTGACGTGAGGCCGAGAACGTAACCAGGCCTTGTCGCCTAGATTCGGTAACCACTGGTGCCCTTTCTAGATACCATGCTCCATCCACTCTCTGAAGTACTTGTTGCCGATCCACTGCTCTGCTTCCGGAAGGACCTCGTCACCTTCTGCGACAGTATAATCCTCCTTGAAGATCGGTACTGGAGTATCCGCAGGTACGTCAGGAAAGTATGTAAGATTCCTAGCCTGCAATTGCGCTAACTGCACTTGTGGGCGTCCAGAGTCTCGCCATCGATCTCCAAATCCCTGCAGATTGGCGGATGCAGTGTCCGGGAGGAGATGAAACATTTCGCCGCGGTATAAATACTTAATGGATTGACCCATTGCAAAGGCGTAGAAGCAACTCCGAGAAGATTGAAAGGAGCCCCAAGTCCAGAAAGGCACGTGGTACTTGACTCTCATGGAAGGGACGTCGTTGCAGACTTGTGTGAGTCGTGCGATGGTGTTTGGACCATCGGTACTGCGGTATCTTTGCTCAGGTGCCATGTTCTCATATCTGATAGTGATAGTCTTGATCCAGAACCTTTTCGCAACAGATATCGAAGTCACCCAGGCAGTCAGGAGGTCAGATGACGGCAGATAGTCTGGGTTGATGCCGAACGTAATATCGTTGAACTTGAGCAGTCTCTGCAAATAGCTGCTTGTTAACGTACTTGAGCTGGTTGTATTCGACAGGCGTTTCGTCGTGCACTTGCTGGGAATGTGCTTCGGGAAGGTGGAGGTACGATTTTTCTCCATCGCCCTCGGGCTTGCGGTAATGCAGCGGCTTCGAGTGGGTGAGAGCAAGTTGGTAGATCGTGTTGCGGAGCTCGGCCGGCAAGTCCAGAAGAAGCGAGGTGTTGGCCATCGTGGTGCGATAGTGGTTGAGACTTGTTTTCGGGAGGCGAGGAAGTTGAGTTGGGTCGTGGCTGTGGTTGACAAAAGAAGTTGTGCTTGAGACCCTCGGTTGACTAGCGGATGGTGGCCGTTTGCTTTACGCTGCCTAAACTGGAAGGACGCGCTCACCTTCACCTACAGACCAGCAATACAGCTCGTCTCTCACCCACTCACTGGGGCTGATTTCAACTACATCTCCTTCACTTTGGGTTCAGTCCCGAGACTAAATCGTGTCATCTACTCGGCCAGACTATGGCCAACATACCGGCTTGTAACGCAGAGCTCATGTATGGGTACGTCGGTGTCGTGATCAGCAAGCTAACTTCTGTAACATCACGTGCAAACTCAAAAACCGACTACAGGGCTGCGTGAAGCCTGTCGTACGATTCCAAGATACGTAAAAGTGGCTAGAGTCCACAGCAGGTTTGGGGCTGAGTTGGTGTTGCAATATCTCGGCGAAATTCTTCAGCAGCCGATGGGGTGGAAACATCCATACTGACGAGACGAGGCATTTCCACTCATCTCGATCAGGATGGGTTCGGCATGGCTATTCGATCGGAGAAGGCGACGCTGGTGGAAGCGTGACCATCCGAAGCAAGGCCGGAGGAGTTGGCGATTGGACAGTCATGGGTTCGCGCCGTGGGAGTGGAGGGGAGTTCCTGAAAGCAGAGCGGGCCATGGCCCTGCCGCTGCAAGGGCATGAAGATCTTTTATCGTAAAACCGGTAGAGGCGGAAGATCTTGGGCGCTGACAACGTCGCCATAGCAGGGTAAACCAGGTTTTAGTGGGCTGAGGAGCGGAACCGAGGTGGCGGTGCAGTTCGGCTCATGTCATGCTTGGCGAATGACGAGTGACGACGCTGTGAACCAACTGGGCTGCTGGCCACGACTGGCAAGAGTCAAGAATCTTCTTAACCTTCGCACGTGAACCACCCTACCCATCACCTGTCGCTCCTGTGACTCTTCCCTACGCCTCGCCCACCTCACCTGGCCACCGACCCAACAACAACCATTCTTGAGCGCTTTCGAGCGCGCGCGCCCAGGCTTGGAATCCACTCAGCCACGCTTTGCTGCTTAGTATCACGACCAGATCAGCACTTTTCAGCCGCCAAATCAGCCCACCGACAACAGATAGCTTGATAACCTCAGGCATCAGCGCTTCCCCAGGCCTGACTCTATGCACACAAACGCGCCTCACCAGGCTGAACATCAACAACACCTCGGCACAGCCAGCGCATACCGTATACCGAAAATGGCGCTCAACGGAGTGCGCCGGAAAGACACGACCAAGGGACCGCCGCTGCGCGTTCTGTCGTTAGGTATGTTGGTGATATGATGTAAGGCCTCAGTATGGCAGGTGCTAACCCATGTGACAGACGGCGGCGGTGTGCGGGGGTACTCCATGCTCATCATCCTCCAGGAATTGATGCACCGGACTTTTGTCGAAACTGAAGGCAGAGCCCCAAAACGGCACGAAGTACCCAAGCCATGCGAACACTTCGATCTCATTGTCGGCACCGGCACGGGAGGCTTGATCGCCATCATGCTGGGGCGGCTGAGAATGGACGTTGAGACATGCAAGGACGTCTACGTGCGCATGACGAGGAGAGTCTTCGAGACCGACAAGACATTCGCCGGCATACCATATCGATCGACGTTATTCAAGGCGTCGAAGCTGGAGGAGGCCATCATGCAATGCGTGCGCGAACACACAATCTACGACGACGAGGGCAACGACAATCACAACGGGCAGGATGCACCGCCCATGACCCCCGGGAGCGCAATATCGGGCCGCATGCAAAGGAGCGCTAGTAATGCCAGCAACTACAGCCAGATTGGCATGACTCCCGTGAATATGCGCATAGCCGCCATGAAGTGGGGGAACCCTCACGCCCAGCTCTATGACAACAGAGAAGAGCGCACTAAAACGTGAGTAGGACGCATGCCGTTAATGTGTCAATGCGCTAACTGTCTGCAGTGCCATCACAGCTGTCTACAAGGGCACCAAGAAGTCTGGCAACGGCCAGGTTCTCCTCCGCTCCTACGATTCCCGCAAAGAACCTCCAATCGAACCAAACGCCACGATATGGCAAGCCGGCCGAGCAACTTGCGCGACCGCCCTAGCATTCAAGCCAATCCAGATCGGCCAATCCGTCTTCCTCGATGAAGGCTCCGGCAAATACAACCCAGCGCCTATGGCTCTCGACGAAGCTGTTTGCAACGAATGGCCTGGGCGCGAAGTCGGCGTTTTCATAAGCATAGGCACCGGAAAGCGGCCAGAAGGCACAAACGCACAACAGCATCTGTGGTGGGAAGGCTTCGTTTCCGGCGGCATGGGCGACTTTGCAGAGGCAAGACGGAAATTGATCCAGAAGATCGAAGATTGCGAAAGGACACACAAGGAGATGAAGGACCACCTTGCGAAAAGACAAGTCAACCCTGAGAACTACTACCGCTTGAACGTCAACGTTGGTGTGGGGGAGTTCGGAATGAATGAGTGGAATGCACTCGCGGAAATCAGCACGAACACACGCATGTACTTGGCGGACAAGGGAGTACAGGGTATGACGCTGGACTCGGCTGCGAAGATCGCAAGGATACACTTCGCAAAGGTGCGATGGGAGCGCGCCGCCAAGGGAGAGTCGCCATTCTCGCCAGGCGCTCAAGCACCGAACAAGCCTCTTCCCACAGTCCCGGACCCAGCGCCCATGGCAGTCGAACTACCAGCCGAAGAGCTCGCGCCAGAATACTACACAAACATACATCCCGCCTTCCGCCCTCCGCCAGAACCGCGCCGGCCATCAGACAACGACAAGTTCCTGGTTGTGTCGTCAGACGAATATCCGCAATCAGCGGCGAGTACAGATGGATTCAGCGACTTCCACCCTCGGCATTCAGGTGAACTAGTGTCGCCAGGACGTCGCTCGGACGAGCAATTCTCAGCGGGGCGTCCAGTATCCTGGATGAGCTCTGCGCCTAGCTGGGATGATCGTATGTCCAACGCTCCACCTAGACCACCTAAGACACCTTTGCAGGATGGACTTCACCCACCGCCTCTATCTGGTGCACGCACGTCACCCCCCTCTGGCTCTCACTTCGCAAGACCCCCTCCAGGTGCACCACTACCGTACCCGGATACAGACGGCCCGCCACCCATTGTCAATAAGGCGACGAAGCCGGATTATACACGGTAATCGAGTGCGAGGTCGATCTTCTTTTTGCATATATGCTTGAATGGTGTGTGGAGTCTTGCATGGCCTATCCCTACGAAGGAGCGCCCATATCACGATGTTTCATGGCTGATAGTTTGTTGAGAGAATAGTTTAGATACCCATCGAAGTTTTCTTTGTTTCGCTCAATGTCATGAACTTTTTGCATAAATCATCGTCTTTCCATGTCGCTTCTCATGTCTCGCAATGCTCAAAAGATTTGAAGCTGCCCATATGTGCTGATCAGAATACATGCATGATCGAATCGCTTCGCTGCATCAACGTCGCCAAGATGTCAATGACTGAAGCTCGCAAGGATCAACCGACCGTCCACTCAAATGTCTTCCTCAAGATCCTCCTCCTTAGGCTCAGGCTTAACGGGAGTGACTTCCTCTTCCTCGTCACCGACGACATCCTCAGAGACCTTCTTCTTGCGGCCACGCTTGGCAGGAGTGACTTCACCCTCTCCGTCAGCAGCAGCCTCGCCCTTCGCCTTGCGCTTTCGCGGAGTCGAAGTCTTCTTGGGGGTATCCTCCTCAATGGGGTTACCCGACATAAGAGCCTCCAACTCGTTCTTGAGGGTATCCTTGAGACGACCCATCATGCGTTGGCAGGCGATGACGGAACGGCCGGCGGGGCGGGGTGTGTTCTGTTTGTTGTGTTAGTTCGCACAGGTAAGAAGATGGGTTTTTAGATGGGGGTTACGCACGTTATAGTCGAACGTGATGTTGGATTTCTCGATGAGTGCGAAGAGATAGACGAGCTATTGTTCTTTGTCAGCATGTATAGTGTGCAGGGTAGGAGAAAGCATACGCGCTCCTTGTCTGTCCAGGCAGTGAGGGCCTTGCCGCTGTTGGCGCCTGACATGATGGAAAAGCTGGCGGACGGTGCTGGATTGTACTTAAATTTGTTGATGGTGTTGTGCTGTGCGGTAGACAGAAGATGGTATGAAGTGCGAGGCAGTAGAAAGGAAGGAAATGGAAGGTGGGAGACTGGTTTATGTGTGAAATTAGCGCTGTTGTGACGGTGAGGATGAGCTTGGCATTGGTGGCTACCAGGTGAAGGTGAGTTCTGGCACACGTGGGTCATTTGGGGTTGGGAGATTGCAACGCTTTGGTAAGTGAGGGATTTAATATGGTAGAACGTATCAAGCAGGTACGTGGTTTCAATACTGGTTTGATTTGTTCAAAATGCCTATGATGCATATGCCCTATGAAAGCTGACTATGCAGCTAAACAAGACCAGCGGAGCATTCAAAGTATGCCGTGAACCTATTCCGAACGCCAGACGCTGAGATGCGTTACAGAACGCTCAAGTTAATCGCCTCTTCTCCATGCCTGCAATGCCACAGTGATCGGGATGGATGTTCAGATATCCTCAGCCTCTTTCAGGATGTCGTCGTCATCATCGTCCTTGACCTCCTCCTTGACAGCCTCACTCTCCAGATCCTCCTCAACCTCAGGAGTAGGCTCCTTCTTCTTCTTCGGGCGACCGCGACCTTTCTTGGGAGTGACTTCTGCGTCATCACCGTCCTCGTCAGTCTTAACTTTTCGCTTGCGGGGTGTTGCGGCCTTCTTGGGTGTAACTTCGGACACAGGTACTCCCGCCTCCATAGCCTCCCACTCCGGCTTGAGAACGTTCTTGAGTGCGTTGATCTTCTGCTTGAAACCACTGGCGTTGCGACCGGCTGGGTAACAGCCCTCCTACGTCACGTTAGCGGGGAGTACTCTGTGCATTACAGAAGTCAGGATGGGGCTTACGTTGTAGTTGAAGACAGAGCCGTTCTTGTTGACGAGGTAGAGCAGACTGGAGAGCTAGTCAAGGTCAGCATCGCGCGATTGACAGAGTGCAGCTGCCATTAGGTACTCACCAAGTCACGGTCACTCCATCCGGTACCGGTGGCCTTCTTGGTATCCGACATGATGTGTTTGTCGTTTGAGTTGTTTTTGTTTACTGGATGGTTCGTAGTGCGGAGGAGTGTTGAAGAGAAGATGAACTGAGGGAGATGGAAGTTGGAGGAGAGGCGGCTCAGACTGATGTTTATATTCAAGGTGAGAGGACCGCCAAGCGTCCAGATTGACCGGAGCTTGAGCTCACCGTGAGTTCGTAAAGAGTAAACGCGGCACGTGGTGCATGGTGCAATATGCATCATACGTGGTGAAGGTGAGTCAGTTGCTCATGGCAACGCGATAGCCGCCTTATGGATCGTGTATGCTATGCCGATTCGATTCAATGGTTCTCAAACAAGGGAAAACTCCAAACTATACATTCTTCAAGCTATCACGATGTATTCTATAGGTATGCGACATGCTGCACTGATTAATTACCCTACTTTGATGGTCACCCGCCGTTGAGAGACGATAGCAAGGATCAGTCTCGATGAAAACCATCAAATATCGCAGATGCACTTACATGTTGTGCGATATCTTCTGAAATGGCCAGATGTAAATTGGAAGACAAAGTCGGAGTGAAAATGACAAAGTGACCAACGAAGATGCAGCCCAGGATAGCAGAATGTACAATATCTACCTGGACAGTGTCTAAGAAGCCATACCCGAGTGAGCTTCCCACCGTCGCAAAGAAATGTTTGCAAGTGCCGCATTTGCTATAAAAGCCATCTCCATCCACAATGTCGTTTTGAATGGTGCTTAATATGGAACTTTCTGTCTCGACATCAATTTTTGCGTCCAAGCACTCATACCATACACAACCTTGGAACGTCAAGGCTGCGATATCAGGTCGCATCATATCCAACAACATTGGGACCACCTATAAAAAGACGAGTTATCGCCCTGATCGAAAGCAAAAAAGCACCCCATACCCAAAACAGGCAGTCAAACACGGCCACACACTAGCAGCTGCCAGCCACCTCAACCACCAAGTCGTCCCGATTCGACCCGCTCCGACCATCTCGCATACGGCGATATGCGAACCATTGAATCAGTGCGTACCGGTGGATGTGGGTCCGGGGTAGAAGCGGGCCTTCCCGTGCGTCGATGAGCCACCGCATGCGGCACCGAGGCTGGCATGGGTCTGTGCCTACTATAGTTCGAGGGGGTTTGATAAGGGTTCGCGTGGTCTACGGGATTGGTCGGGTTGATAAGAGGAGGTGTTCGAGGCGTGCGGATCGTCTTATCGTCTTACTGTATCTTTCTGAGATCAGACGGCGGATGAGGGGTCGGACAGTGAGGGGGTCCGCGTCGGGGGGCTGTTGGGCGGTTTGGGTGTTCTCAACAGATACTCTCTCCTTGGGAGTTATGCTAGCTATCCGATGTGACACTAGGGTGAAGATAGAGGCATTGATCATGGCCGCTTGAGGTCACGGAAACGAAGTCAGGGAGATAGCAAATATTGTCCATAACATAATGTATTGTCATTCCAGTGCGCTCAGCTGCACCAGGTCGGAGGTATCTAGGTGTACTACAAGTTATCGTGAGAAGCGATTAAATGTAGTAGGGTATCGAAATCCGTCCAGCCATCCCACAGAAAAGGAAATTTTGTGACCCATTGCCCAGTCTAAATGATATCAAGACCGAAAGAAGAAAAAAGGTAAACCTAAGTGGCTAACCCTGACGCCAAAGAACATGACGAATTAGAAAGCTACAAGTGAGCAACACCGTTGGTGACCTCAGCGACACCGACGGTGGTGCCGTTCAACTTTTCGCTTGCGTAAAGTTGTTGAGAGACCTTCTTGTCGAAGTACTTGGGCTCGGTGTATGGGTCGTACATGTTCTTCTTGATGTAGGCGTCGAGTTGCTCGTCGGTAAGACCACGGAGCTCGGTAGCGCGGTCAACACCGTTCTTCTGAGCTGCACGGATGACACCGCGGGTTACGATGACGGAGACTTCGCGGATGCGGCGGATGTCGGGGTACAACCAGCCATCTGCGCGCTCTTGCTTGTTCAATGAAGTCGACAGTGATTCTGCAGAAGCGTAGATCATGTCTTGGGTGACGGAGACGGCCTTGGAGATAATGGCACCAAGTCCGATACCAGGGAAGACATACATGTTGTTTCCTTGGCCGGGCGTGAGCATCTTGCCGTCGAACTCCATTGAGGGGAAAGGAGAACCGGAAGCGAACAGGCAGCGTCCCTCAGTGGCGACGACAGCCTCCTCGAATGTGCACTCGGATTTGCTTGAAGGGTTGGAAAGAGGGAAGATGATGGGGTGGTTGTTGAGCTTGGCCATCTTCTCAAGGATGTCCTTGTTGAAGGCACCGCCGATGGTCGACAGACCCATCAGGATAGTGGGTTGTACGTAGTCGATGAGGCGGCTGAGCGACTGGTATTGGCGGCCGTTGTTGTCGTCACGAGCAAAGAAGACCTTGTGCTCGGCCAGCTTGTCGCCACGGTCCAGGGTAACGAGACCGTTTGAGTCGACGAACCAGAACTTGCGCTTGGCCTCGTCCTCTGTCAAGCCCTCCTTGATGAAGTACTCAACGATCTGCTTGGCAACACCAACACCAGCACTGCCAGCGCCGAGGAAAATAGCCTTGTGGTCCTTGGCGGGAACACCGGAAGCCTTGACGGCGTTGATGAATCCACCGACAATGACGGCGCCAGTTCCCTGGACGTCGTCGTTGAACATGGCGTATTGGTCTTGGTAGCGTTCTAGGGCGGGGAAGGGGTTCTTGAAGTCCTCGAATTGGATGACGATGCTGTCACACGATCAGTTTCCTGAAATGGATACGAATGCAAAGTACGTACCTGGGCCACTTGTCGGTAAGGGCAGCCATGAGCTCGTCGAGGAACTCCTTCTCTTGCTCAGGAGTAACCTTGGGCATCCTGGATCCCATATAGAGGGGATCGTCACGGAGAGCCTTGTTGCTGGTTCCGAGATCGAGAGTCAGGGGCAGGGTGCTGTCTGGCTTGATACCAGCGCAGGCGGTGTATAGAGCGAGCTTTCCAACGGGAATACCCATTCCGTTCACACCAAGGTCACCAAGACCCAAGATGCGGGATCCGTCTGTGAGAACGGTGATGTCGACCTGGTGTGGCCAGTTGTCGAGGATCTTGCGGAGGTTGCCGCGGTCGCTCCATGAGAGGTACATGCCCTCGGGTTGTGTCCAGATTTCGTGCCATCGTACGCAGGCCTCGCCGACGGTGGGGGTGTAGATGAGGGGAGTCAGTTCCTGGGTATGTTAGTTTATTGCCCTGGAAATCCTACTGAGTTCTCACATACCTTGATGTTCTCTCCGAGGAGACGGTAGAAAAGATGTGGGTTGGTGGCTTTGAGGTGGACGAGGTACTGGAACTTCTCAATGGGCGCCGTCTTCATGGCAAGGAGCCTGAGGCCTTGGTTGGGTTAGTAGTGATATTTGGATAGTCGGTGTTTGACATACATCGCTCGCTCTGGATGTCGTAGCTCTCGACGGCGGGGGGAGTGAGGCCGTATGTGCCCAGGGTCCTGCGGACGTCGGGCGTGTAGGACAGGTCGTAGTCACCGGAAGTGGTGCTCAGTTGGCGGGCCATGTTGGGGCGTGTAGCGGAGGGCATGGTGTCGTTTGCTATAGTGGCCATACAACGAACGAAGGAGGGTTTTTGGATTGAAGAACGGAGGCCTTGGGCGGGAGCCGTAACTTTTATAAGCGGTCTGAATCGCTGCATTGAAATGAGCTGAAACGACGCGTCGGCAATTGAAAAGGAATTAGGAAGACAGCCCGCCTGGGGCGCGGAGGATGGGGGGCTACATAACAAGCAGCCTATCGGAGGGGTCTAGGTTCCGCAACAGTCAGTCTGTGAGGAGATCCGTTCTCGCCGTCAAAGTGTGCCTGTAAAGGAAGCATGGACCAGCCCGTTGGTGACTTTTACGCGAGTCCCTTCCCCAAGTTTACTATCTTGCCGCGTGCACAACTGCAGCTTCACACA